TACTGTAATACAAGTGTAACAGTATTCATTGTTATGCATATTTAGAGTTAATAATGTAAAAACTGTGTGAACTACAAAGAAATGTGTTGATTACTTTGTTTAATAGTCACTATTGGTTGTGTCACTTGTGTCACTTCAGACAACATCGATATATTTTGCATATAAACAGAACATGCACTTTTTACATGTTAACACAACAGATGTATCTTCGTATGTGTTAAGACAATATGTGTCTGTATTTGTTAACATATCTTACTATGTGCCAGTTTTTTAAGTATAATAACAGAGGTGTATTTTTATATATTATATTGATAATGGTAGAGAATGCAACTCTAAAAGTTTCATTGGTAAATAACAACTTTGAAGTGGTAAATTGAATTTGTATAAAATCTTTGTCAGATTAGTGTAATTTATAGGAACAATTATAAGTACAAAACTGTCATTATACCATGTTGAAGGTAATAAAACTAAGCAATTGTGGTTTGTGCTGCAACTATGTTATATTTACATGAAAAAATTGATAACTTAGAAAACTAAATCCTTCATTAAGTACATCTAAAATAATTTATTTAGGAGTGCTGTTAAGTATGGCTATGAAAGAAGTCAAAGAATGCAAGATAAAATATACAACATAAAAACCATTTGTGAACAGTGTTAATCTTGAAACTTTTGTTGCTTCACTTTTTATCATTGTGTAAGAATACAAGTAGTACACCAAGATTCCTCTAAAAATACAACCACATGTTTCTATAATCACAAAACAAATTAAGAATATATGTCTGAATCATATATATATACTAATCCTAATACTAACCACAATGCAAGTTTTAAAAGGCTGAAAGCTAAGAAACCTTTTTTTTTCCACCACTTTTAACTCATTTGTTTGAGAATATTGTTTTAGTATTCACTTTTAAGTGTTTTGTGTTTGCTCTAGGAACATTTACAATCTTTATTAATACATATTGAGTTATTTACAAGTTTGTATAAGCAACTGTAAGCAGTCGTTCTTTTTTTATATTAACATCTGCTAACATAGTAAACAGTTACAGTTATTAAAAACTACACTCTCTTCTTACGTGTATTATAATAAAGTCATAAATGTATTTAACCTTACACTTTCCAGTTTTAACATTCAAAGAAAACATTTAAAATACAAATAGGATTAAAAAATAATAACTAAATGAATCACAAAATCTTTTAGAAAGTGGAATATTTAACAATTCCAATATATAAAAACTTAAGCCAGTGAGTGTAATTATCTTTTATATTAAGCAATCTCACTTGCTAATTAATTTTACAACTTGTAACTTGTTTTATTGCTTAAATTCTTTCCCTTTGTTTCTGCTTATAATAATGTTAGTTAAAGTGTTTGTTCAGAAAAATACACCTCTTCATGCTAAATAGCTTTTTCCATAATGATATTTATATTTTAATTATGTTCTAACTCTTCTGCTGATCTAAGCAAGCATAATATGTTTCTGTAGAGGGGCAGATTCCATTCAAGAAAACATGTGAAGGGGAGATTTGTAAACACCCACCAGCTAGCTTTAGGATTGAGGAAGACAGCAGCAGTGAAGGAGCCCTTTCTCCACACCAAGATATCAGTGACCAATCACAGAACAGGTAAATCTAGTATATAATAAAACAGTTTGGTTCGTATGAGGCATAAAAAGCAGGAAGTACATTACATTTACTGACTAGCACGTTAATACCATATAATTTAGTGCTTGTTTACACATTTTTTTGCCCTGCTTCACTTGACAAATACAGTGTTCCCATGTTAAAACACTGGTTTCATTGGTCCCTTTCGTACCTTTGTTATAAACCACATTGTAATGAAGTCCCATGTACAGTACACAACCATATACTAGAATATAAGACATCACATTTCCTTTTTGTAGATAAATGTACTAAAGTGTATATACTTCAAAAGTCTGCTGCAGAAAAATATTGTGTGGTTCTTTCTTGGTGCAAAAATTTTAAATTTTGATCACTTTGGCTTCACCATTTACACATACAGGCAAAACTAGTTATTTATCTGAATAACACTCCCTTACCAGCTATTGTCATAAATAAAATTTGTGGTATTGGAGTTTGATAGCATTTTACAACATTTAAAATAAACATGAGTATCTAACCATGCAAATACTTTACAATTTCAACCAGCATTCTGCTGTTGTTCTAAATCACCACTGAGTAAATAGCAATAAATTATGGCTGTAAAACTAATCACCACTGAGTAAATAGCAATGAGTTGCGGTTGTAAAACTAATTACAGCTGAGTAAATAGCAGTGAATTACGGCTATAAAACTAATCACCACTGAGTAAATAGCAGTGAATTACGGCTGTAAAACTAATCACCACTGAAGTAAATAGCAGTGAATTACGGCTGTAAAACTAATTACCACTGCGTAAATAGCAATGAGTTACGGTTGTAAAACTAATCACCACTGAATAACTAGCAATGAATTATGGCTTTAAAACTAATTACCACTGAGTAAATAGCAATGAATTACGGCTTTAAAACTAATTACCACTGAATAAATAGCAATGAATTACGGCTTTAAAACTAATTACCACTGAATAAATAGCAATGAATTACGACTGTAAAACTAATCACCACTGAGTAAATAGCAATGAATTACGGCTGTAAAACTAATCACCACTGAGTAAATAGCAATGAATTACAGCTTTAAAACTAATTACCACTGAGTAAATAGCAATGAGTTACGGTTGTAAAACTAATCACCACTGAATAACTAGCAATGAATTATGGCTTTAAAACTAATTACCACTGAGTAAATAGCAGTGAATTACAGCTGTAAAACTAATTACCACTGAGTAAATAGCAGTGAATTACAGCTGTAAAACTAATTACCACTGAGTAAATAGCAATAAATTATGGCTGTAAAACTAATTACCACTGAGTAAATAGCAGTGAATTACGTCTGTAAAACTAATCACCACTGAGTAAATAGCAATGAATTACGGCTGTAAAACTAATCACCACTGAGTAAATAGCAATGAATTATGACTGTAAAACTATCACTGTGTTCCTCCTCCCAGCAGCCACGAGTAATTTGATCTTGCAGGCCTTTTTTATAGTTATGTGTAAGAGGAGTTACTTATTAATTACTGGTGCATTGATTGATTTTGTATAGTTTAACATACTACCTAAAAACTCATTGTTCTGATGGTTTGAAATACCATTTTGTTTTCATTTAAAAATCAAACTTGATTTTAAATGTAATGTATGGCTCTCACAGGAAACCTAGGATTTTATAGTAATTATAAATAATGTCATTATAGAGCTGTTTCTGTTGGTGTGTCTTCCATTTCTTGTATGCCTGTTAAGTTCATATTTTTCGTGCTTCATCAGACATGATAGTAATGATACAGGTATTTTATACAGTGTCAAATCTATGTTTGATAATATTATATTCAGCAAGCATATAATTCTGTTGTATGTATTATATGTGATAGATAAATGTTTCAGTATGTAAGGTGCCTGGAAATATTGAAATTAACTTGGAAATAGCATAGAATGTAAGATTCAAATAATTATGAGAATCCTGATAATCACAGTAAATAAAATGTACTAAATAATTAGTAAATGAGTAAAATTGTATAGAAAATTTATTATTCTGTTTAAAAGGGAAAACAAAGCTCATAAAGTAAGTAGAAATGGTTAAAGCTGTGTATGATAGTTTGGTCAGCCATTTAGACACAGTGAGGAAATGGTAACCAGTTGAGAACTAAGGTCATTGTGACATAAATACTACTTTAACAGATAAGTTGATATTCTGTCTCAAGCTACAGCGACAAAATATTTTCTTGAAAAGTACACAGAGAAAGTGTTTAAAACTTTTCTGTAAACATTAGTTCACTAAGAAAGAAAGTTTTCTGTAAACTTTGATACACAAAGAAAGAGTTGAAGTTTTATTGATTAGATCTTTGAGGCAGAAATTCTTAGCTATTTACATGGATCAAGTACATAGATCTTAAACATCCTTTATTCTGACATACTTCACAGTTTAAGTACATGGATCCTAAACATCCTTTATTCTGACATACTTCACAGTTTAAGTACATGGATCCTAAACATCCTTTATTGTGCATTACTTCACAGTTCAAGTACATAGATCCTAAACATCCTTTATTCCTACACACTTCACAGTTCAAGTACCTGGATCCTAAACATTCTTTATTCTGACATTCTTCATAGTTCAAGTACATAGATCCTAAACATCCTTTATTCCTACATACTTCACAGTTCAAGTACATGGATCCTAAACATTCTTTATTCTGACATACTTCATAGTTCAAGTACATGGATCCTAAACATTCTTTATTCCAACATACTTCACAGTTCAAGTACATAGATCTTAAACATCCTTTATTCTGATATAGAAATATGAATTAATAAGTCTTTATTTATTTACAGTTTCACACCTTTAGAAACAAGTCAGTCTTCACCTCTTGC